ACCACCATCAGATGGCTACACAAACTTGATGGTCATAACGGATCGTCTTTCAAAGGACATATTTATTTTTGGTACTGATTCAATGGCCTCGGAGAATTGTGCAAATATCTTTGTTGACCGTTACTATCGCTATTATGGATTCCCTCGCTACTTGACAAGCGACAGGGGTAGTGATTGGACAAGCCATTTCTGGAAAACATTTTGTCAAATCACTGGCATTAAGCAGAACTTGACAACAGCGTACCACCCACAATCAAATGCAAGCGAACGAGCCAACCAAGAATTTTATAAATACTTACGGGTATTCACATGTTACGCACAGGATAATTGGGTGAGCCTCCTTCCAATGGCTCAACTTGCACTTAACTCACGTCCAAATTCCGCGATTGGAGGAATGAGTCCTTTCTTTTTGCGACATGGCTACGAGCTGGACCCCCTCATGGAACCGACACCAATTAAAGCTGAAAAATCTCGACATCCAGGACGAGTGGCAGCAATTGATTACGTACAACGATTGAGAGATGCGCAAGACCTGGCGCAAGCCGCAATGATGTCCGCCCAACAACGGAATGAGCAAAACGCGAATAAAATTCGTCGTCAGCCTGAAAGATTTAAAGTCGGAGATAAAGTATGGCTAGATTTACGTCACATAAAAACGCCGCAGCTCTCTAAAAAGCTGGCCTGGCAACACGCAAAGTACGAGGTTACTGCAGTCCCTGACGCACTAACTGTTGAATTAAACGCCCCTGGTAATATACATAAAAGATTTCACGTCGAGTTAATCAAAAGAGCAGGCAACGACCCACTTCCAAGTCAAGTACGTGATGATGCACAAAATCCTCCTTTAATTGACGACCTGGAAGAATCCGAATATGAAGTTGAAGCTGTCATACGAGCCAGGACAATTCGCCGTGGAAGAGGGGAATATAGGCAAGCCTTAGTCAAATGGACTGGATGGGCTGATCCAACATGGGAGCCACTAGAGTATATTAAAGATACGGAGGCATTAGAAAAGTTTGAGGCTATATACGACTCAATTGAGAATCATGACGGTCCTTCGAAAGAGACTGCTGGGAAATTTATTGGCCCAGCAGAATCCCATATAAAACAGCAACGAAAAGCTAAAAGAAAAAATAATAATAATAAATTAGAAGAGGGGGGATTGTGACGGCTTGTGAGCCGATAAGTCCTGTAGCCTTTGATGGCTATCGAAGGCAACCTATATTCTCTATCACTCCGAGGATTATCAGCAGACGAAAACTGATACGAGATCGCCACCGAGGCTACGTAAAGGATAGTGCCAAGAGTATCGGAAGCGTTACTCGTGTGGCAGAACAAACCTCTTGTCAGTTTCATTGCCACTGTAAGTGTAGGCTAGATTTAGATACCTCTGGATGTGTATAAGTAGTAGAGTAGACTTGCAGGTAGTTTGCTTCTACATAGATGAATTATAGCTTTACCTTTCAATCATACAAATGCCCATTCGCTTTCTATATTTGAACTGTGACAATTGCCATACAACAGAACAGGAAGCGGTCTGGCAAGATCTGAGTGAATGTATCCGCCTTTCGATGTTGATCGTGCAGCTGATGAGGCTGGCTTGTTGTGTACGGATTTAGATGACATGCAGGAATCACAGTGAAAGTTCTTTGGGCAATTTGGAATTACACCTGAGTTCTGGATGAGCTTCTCTGCCTTGGTTATTGTCGAAGGAGATGTATGACTGAGGGCTTTATGCCAGAATTCATAGGTGGAGCAAGCTACTTCATTTTTACGTGCGACTTCCCTGATCACTGACAAGGCACCATCGTAATGAGCTTCCAACCAGATTTTATTATTTTTATATATAATCATCACTTTGCCATTGTCATGGAGTAAGTATCCCTTGGATCTAGCTTCCTTCCAAGAAAATAGCAGTAAAGATAAATTTGGCACATATAGTACATCATTAACCTTGAAAGTTGACACAGTTCCATCTGATACCTCACAGTGTAACAACATACTTCCTTTCCCTTCGATTGACATTCTCTCATTTGAACTTGACATCACATAACCGGAGCAAGGCACGAGTTGTTCGAATCGTTCTGGGTAAGGACACATGTGAGCAGTTGCGCAAGTATCAAGGTAAAATAGATGACTAACCTGATCAATGCCCGTAACGGTTATATTTGCCCGTTGTAAGGTTATTTCAGATTGTGTCGAATTCAGTTGGGACAATTCCTCTTTAAGTCTAGGGCAATAGTTATAAACATGCCCTTTATACTCGGTCGGAAAACGTTTCTTGCAGAAGGAACATTCGTTCGACGAGGGGCGTTTGGAACGCTTGGACACCCTTCCAGTTTTCCTTGGCTTGAGAGAGTTATTGTCTGCTTTGCCAACTTGCGTGATGAGAGCTGTTGGAGGAGGTGCAGTGCGATCTAGATCAAGAAGACGTTGTTTAACCACGGCATAGGTACAATTGTCCTTAGTTGTCAAGTTATCAACCACATCCTTATGATGTTCACAGAACAAACTCAAAAAGTAACTCCTCTTAACTTCATCATAATCAAGAAAGTCGGCTAGCTTGTGGCAGTTCGAGTTTGAAGATTCTCGGGCTAACAATGTTAATCAATCATACTCCGTCTCAAATTCGTCGATGACCGAACTGACAGTGCGACTTGGATCGTATGCATTTGCGAGGAGCGCAACCAATCTAAGTTGGTGGATCAATGTAAAATAGCTGTTCTGGTGGTACTGCTCTTTCAAATACTTCCACATCAAGTGAGGGTCTTTGAGTTTTAAGATCTTGCCATGGATCTTTGAACCGACGACCTGAATATATATATTTACAGCAATACTCGAAAGCTGGCTGTATGCTCCTTTTTCTTCAGGCAAAGCGTCCCTGTCCGGCTTTTTGCCGTCGACGACAATCTCGTTGAGTTCCTGCCCTTCAAATACTGCAGTCATTGTAATGGCCCACAACTTATAGGTTTCAGGACCAGTGAGGTGGGTTAGATTGGTTAATGATATTGCGCGCAAGTAGTTAGTTCCGAGTCTCGAAGCGAAGAAGCCGGTTTTCGCGGACGAGGATTCCATTTCTGTTGTGCGGTTAGAAGACTTCTTTCGAGATGAGGATGCTTAATAGTGATGGAATCTTTTTGCTTTTAGGGGCACCGGGTCATAACATGTTGAGCGGATTGGTTTGCAAAAGCTTGTGGCTGTTATGCACAGATTATATCAATTGGTGAAGCGAGTGGGAAACTAAAGGAGTCTGTAAATCTGTCGCGGAGAGTTGTTAATTACTCCCACTAGGACACAGAGTGCTATATAAACTATATTTTGTAATAATAAAATCTAGTGGTAGGTATTTACGTCAAAGCGCATTAATACTAACCTCACAATTAATGGGAGATTAGTGATGTGTCTTCTACACATCCCTGTCTTTACCATAATTGGAAGCACCAATTTCAATATCATCCAGTAGCCCACAAAGGCCTCCACAGTTTGTTTTTCCTTTAGTTCCTTCATGTAGCATCCCTCTATCTTCCAGCCGATCTAGTCATCCCAGAAACTTAGAAGAATGTCCATACCTCCGGCCTTGCCCCGTCGCTGTCGTGCCCGAGCCTTTGTCAAACGCTCTTAATGGAGTGCCGGCGAAATGTCGTACGTATTATGGTGATTTGACTTTTGGAGGTATGGGATTGCTTTGGTAGGTGGTGAGATAATTTTGGGGGAAAAGAAAAGATAGGTCTTGAAGGTGTTGGTTGTTGTGATACGAACATCAGTCAGGTTACAGGCTGTCTGCGGTTCGTATCTGGGGTGTAGATGGTTGATTTCGTGGAGTTGTGCAGTCGTGAAATCTCTGCAGATGGGATTTTCGACCACAAATGAGCCAACAATACTTCTCCCAATTACCAACTCGACGTAAACTCTCAAATTCACCCTTTGTCGTGATTGAATCTCGGTTCTGGGGGAATATTTCATACCCAGGTTCGTAGAGGACACCACTGACAGGTGTTCAGCCTTTGTCCTCCCCAAAAGCGTTACGTGCCGTGCTTTGCACCAAATTTGGCTGAGCACAGGACTCTGGCCAACTCCAACGAGATGTTGAAAAGGTTAAAACAGAACAAAAATCGATCCACTCTACAGCCTCAATGACTGAAGGGTCGTTATTCTCTTGATAAAGATGATGTTAGCATTTTATCAAGCAATCTCATGAATATATCTTTGTCAGTGATAACGGAAAATATAATGAGTTAACGTGCAAGGTGATTAAGTAGTAAAATTGCAGAAATTTTAGAAGATCAAAGTCTATAACATTAACAGTGGTAAAATCAACAAAATCTAACCAAACTGGACAAACTAACTCTGATGTGTTCATGCTTCTACATACGGCAAAACTGTCTACAAACAAATTTCAAATTGGATCATATCAAACTGCAGATAAATTTAGGCTTACTGAATCTAGTGATGAGAAGCATTGGGTATGGGATGACACATCTTCTTATAATTGTCTCGAGCTTTACCATCTTACTCAGGGCATGACCCTCAACATCTATTGGAACACATTAAATAAATTAATTTTAACATTGAAATAGTAGCCAGAATTTTAATGGTAGATTCTAGAAGTCCTTCAAATTCTTAGACTCAGAAGGGATTATAATAAAAATTCAATTCTTATGTTACTATCTCACCCAAAATGGTGCTCAGGAGGATCAAAGCTCCAACTTCAGGTATTTTGACCTTCTACACCTGTTATTTTGGGAATCGAGGCAAAGATACTCTCACTTAGAAATAGTTTGAGTTGGATATATAGCATCAAGCCGGAAAGAAGTAGATGTCTCATCATTATCCTTTTATATTTTTCAATTGAACCAAGACCTTCTAGTTATGGATGCAGTACGGACTTTAATTCAATCCACTGGACGCTTAGTGTCTAAGACATCATCAATCCAAGTACCTAACAAAATTATTAGGCATATCTTCAAATGATAAGAGTGTGTGGGTTGGGGGACAAATACTTACTCAAATTCACAATGTTCAATGACATCGGAGGTTTGACTATAATGAGTGCGGCTGTTTAGGCCGACTATTTCACCGTCTGTGTTGAATACAACGAAATCATGTGGACCTGGGCCCTCTAGAAATTTGTAGTCATTGGTTAGTATTAAAGTACTTGGAAAGCAACTAAATATCATGCATTCTATTATTACCTGCCATAGGATAATACCATACTGTTCCGGCAACGTTGTAGCTAAGTCTAGTGGATACAAAAGGATATTCATCATCTGGTTTATCGGGACGTATAAATTTTTTGGCAAACAGAACTACTTTCATGGCTTGAGCTTTTGAGTATATGGGACCATTTGGGCAGTGGAATCTGAATTCTCGATTCGGGTCAGGCACTGGTAATACATTTGGTATTAGATCTCGCAATGGCGGTGTTACAAAAGCTTGCACTGGTGCTAAGATGCATAAGAGCGTTGAAATGCCGCTGATGGTGAAGAACTTCATTGACAAATGTTCTGTAGTTGTATTTCTTCCGAATCTAAAGGTTATAAAAAGCTGAAATTTGAAGATTGATAAAAATGAAGTACAGAATCGAAATGGCTTGTTGGTGATTTCAGGATGCAGTTCATATACACTCTATTTCAGCCAAGTTGTGGCTTGGCAAGCTCAATCAACCATGTTTGAGCCATGGATATTATGAGGCATTTGCAATATTAATTTAACCCATGTTAACTGCTTCTTATTTCACCTTTCTGGGAACTGAAATTGCAAAGTCCCACTCGCCCTCGATCGTGAGAAATTTTCCCGAAAAAAGATTTTGTGGCTAATGATCGAGATGTAGGGGAATAGGATTGAACTCCTTATTGACATTTACTTGCCTGACTCCTTTTAGGAGAGGATTCGGGAATTTAAAAGCAGGTTACGCTCTAACCCCTCGACCTCCAATCCACCAGCATGAATGATGGACTTTGAAATTACTGTGTAGATCTGCTATCATTATGAATGACAACTCTCTTGCTCAAATATCAGAAGAGATTTAGCTCCCTCAGAGATGATATGGCGCACTTAAGATTAGTCCAAGACCTAGTTGATACACTTTGTCTTGGAAATGGAGTCACTGGGTGTTTAGGTTGTGTTGGTTCTCCATTTTGTCTTGGCTGCCAATGCGATGTCGTGTGTGGTAAAGGATGGGAGTGAGTAATAGATGGCTTGAAGTGCTGGCTTATTACATTCCTTGACAAGAGTTCAGGCGACAATATAAACACCGCCATAGTTGGATGGTGCAGTGGTATATCATCTTGGCCGGCCATCCAAGTAGAATCTAGATAGCTTAGATACATCTACCAGTCGAGACAGGAGATGGCTGCTTCGAATGTGGCAATACATAATGTTGGAAAATCGGTATGAGTTCGATGAGTAAGGCAGCTCAAGGAATATGGGCGCGATTTGCGAGAAGAACAACATCAATACGAGTCGGAAGAGAATATAGTAAGCTGTAGAAAGAGAAGTGCGATATAGAATAAATTTAATTGACTAATCCGTCTTGGATGCTCCCAGACAGCATGTATACACGTATCTCGGCAATCCAAACCAAGTATCAGCCCCGAGCCTAGTCCCATGCTCCAGCAATTAGAATGAGAACAGGGTCGGTGAGTTAAACTATACCCGACGGGTATCATATCTCTCCATGTTCCAGTCGAGTCTCGTACACCAAACATGCTCAATGAGGTGACTCTTACTGATGCCAGTCGTGACTCAGGTGTGAGAACATTTATTGTTCCAATCCTACGGAAGCTTCCAACATTCAGGGTGTGAATTTCCAACCCATAACAACATTTCACGTGGCGCTGACATACATGGATGACAGAGACAGACTTGGATAATCAAAGTTTTCGAATTTCCCTATGCTGGGTACTTGGGGACGGGGGTCGCTTTCACTTGTACTTGTAGCGCACAGCGAGGGGAATGAGAACAGCAGGCTGATCACAACTCCATCGAGTAGCCACGACCGAAGTCTTATCTCGGGAGGATGTTGGCTCGGGTCGAAGGAATTGAGTTGGGTTCTCTGACAGCACGCTTTTGCTTGACTGCCTTTCTCGCCGCAGCGTGGGGAACAGGGCGAGAGAGATTTATTGATATAGGCCTGGGCCGGTGAGTAGTCTGGGGCTATTTCTCTCCACCTCGCGCTGTACTACTGCATTCAGACTTGTCACGGCTTCATGTCCTATGGGAGGCTACTTAGTTTTTGACGCTGCCAAGCGACCCCACTCGAAAATCACTACTACCACTACTGCTATTCTTTGGCCAGCTTTTTCTTTTGGTCCGGGAATATTGCGCCCATTTCATCGCGCAATATTTCCAGCACTTACTGTTCCGATTAGGCCCTAGTTAACATTTTCTAAGCTACTTTTGCTACAATATAGCCCGTTGTTCCAACTATTCATGGGTCAAAGTTAAGGCTATGCGTATTTTCGCTTTCGTGTGGATTATTGGATTGGGACCTGAGCCTGATACAAAGAAGGCAGGCAAGCGGCTCAAACAGCAAAGTGTATAAAAATGTAATGAGTGTTAAAAATTTGGAGTACAGAGATAAGTCAGGTGATGCTTAATGGAATTTATTGATGAAGGGTTTGGTTATTGAGTTTTCTATTATTTCTGTGTTGGGATACACTTTGTCAATGCTACTAGTGTGACGAAACCAAGCTGGTTGTCGTGTACTTTTAGAAAGATTAAACTATATGAAGAGAGAAGTATCACAACTATGGGCAATGTCTATTTGTACATCCTTCTAGCTCATCCAATACGTACTCAGTTGGTGAGAATGACATATTGCTCCGCCACTGCCCGTCGTCATCTTTGCCATCTAGCTGACTCTCTCACTTGGCAATTCTACTTCGCCGTCTCACATTCCTTCCTAGCTTTAATGTAATGTGGCCAAGTGAAACTTAGTCGCTTGATACAAGATAATATGTAACACTCTCCCGAATACACCCCCAAACTCCGCTTAGGTCTCCGCCTAAGCTAAACCACGGTCAAACCGTAACAACTAGGCTCGATTACAAGTAGTCCCGACCGACTGGTGTGTGGTGAACGGAGATTGCGTATACCCTGTGTTAGCGTTTTTTTTTTGCACCAGATTGTAATTGCGTATGCAGCTTTCTAGCTATGAAACAATATCAAAGAAAATTTCAGAATAGATGACTCAATTTACGAGAGGAGCACTCATGCCTCAGATTTCATTTGTAAGTACCACTGCGAAGTTATGGCGGCTTTTTCTTCACCCCAAGTCAACCCTCATCCGTGAATACCCACCCAGGGGAACATCTCAAAAACCCTGGGTTATCCAGACATGCCTCCATCATCTTTCAACTTTTCTCTGCGCGAAATATGGTCCGAGATGTCTCCTTCCCAAGTGGATTAGGTGCCCAGGCTACTCAAATTATACCGGAGAACATCACCAGGAGGCGGACCACTACACCTTCCATCGTTTGCTTGTTTTTATAGTGTCAGCTGCACTCTCGCTAGCGATGTCTTGACGCGCACAAAGCTCAATTTGGAAATGTTCCTTACCAAAATTTGGAACTTCATGCCCTTCGAGGTTATGTCCTTCTTTTGCATCATCTTGTCAACTTGTCCTGATCCATCGCACGTCCATCCCAAAGAACTGTCTGTTGTGATATCGCTTGTCAATGAACGGCTCTGCGCCGACAGGTGCATATCCACGTCGTGCGTTAACTATGGTTACAACCGCTGCCGCTCCTGAGTCTCGGACTTCGGAGCACCGGGTTGAGTCATTAAAGGGCAACAGTTGGGGTAGCGTTGTGGAGAGTCTACTGACCACGTGCGCTAGCCATAAGCGGTTAGGTATCGCCTGGCAATTACGGAATAGCGCTCAGAGGTACATGCAGACCTAGCGCACTATTGGAACTATACAACTGCTTCCGCTCCTGAGTAATGGACTAAGGACTGCGGAACTGAGACATTTTATGGGAACGATTGGAGCGACGCTGTGGTGTGCACACCAACCACAGGCGCGAACCATGCACTGGATTGCTGTCGTTCCTGAACAGCTAGGTTCAGGATCGCTCAGCTGGGATATTACACGTAAGTGATTGAGGCATTGCAGCGACGCGTACTCGGACCGCGCGCGCCAGCCATCGAAACAGCGGAAGCCTCTCATGAGAGATGGACTCATGAGCTGCAGAGTTTTACCTTGGCACGCTGTTGGCAGTAAGTCAGGAGAGAGAACGTAGACAATGACAAGGGTCATATTAGAGTATATAAGTAGTCTATGTTCTGTCTCATAAACAGCATCGGAAAAGTATTGGACACCTGCCAGCAATCACATTACCAAGTATCAAATCATCTGAACAAACATTGTGACACATTCCAAGTACCTATGTTCCTATTTAACTCATAACCTTAACACTGTCCCCCAGATTTGTGTGCCACGCTTTGCTTCCTCCGTCGGGTATAAATATCGGCGTGGGCGTGTATTTGGTGGTCAACTGAGGCCAGAGAAGGTCGACGAGAGGTGTGGTCATTGAAATGAGGATGTACTATGTCGTACTTGTAGACTTGATGAAGCTTAGTTGAGAATCGAACTATTTGGGAGTGAAAGATTGACATGGTGGAGTAATTTGAATTTTTGCCTCGTGGTCCAACTTCTTTGATATTGCAAAATTTGACTGAACTTGGCTCTGGGAGAATATTTCACTCCCAGGTTTGTAGAGGACGCCGCGCAGAGGTGTTCAGTCTTGCCCTCCAAGTTAATGAACAAAAAAGAAAAAACGGTTGCCACACTTTAGAAAATCGCCATTTCGACCACAGCTTCCGCCGATTATCAGTTACGCCTTTCTAATTTCGATATTCAGTTTTGCATCGTCATTAGCTCTCGATTGATATAGTTTTTAGCATACGCGTCCACCTATTTCAACATTTCTCGACCAAAACCCAACTTTTGACTCTCTGGATAAAAATGTTTTTTACTTCGCCCTTACCAGGGCTCGACGCGTGATCAGTTGACCAATTGCCTCATCACATGATTTTTGATTCCAGTTTACAGATTCAAAAAATAGAGGAATAAAAAAGAAATAAAATAAAAATAATTAATTTAAAAATAGGCTTTATAATATCACATTCAAATATGCCAAAACAATCCAGTGTCCCCCTGGAAGCTCTCCTCCTATACCATCATCACCAATGATGGATATTTCTAAACTTGCAAGGCTTTCAGAGTCTGTTTGGAACACCAATTTAACTAATATACCAACCAAATTAATTCCTACTCTCAGACTACTTACACTTTCATCTAAAATTGATCTTTTCAGTAGTGACCCAATTATGTCAGGTAACTAGGAGCCTGACCTGTGACGGGCGAAGTGTATGTAATTAAAGTAAACAATAACTCAGTAAAAACAACTTGATTCCTATTTCTCCTGGAATTCTAAGACTATATACACTGATCATGATTGACTTGATCTCTTGATCTCTAAATATAGACATGCGCTAGGAATAGAATAACCTGCGGTTCTAAATACAGAATTCAAGCACTGACCGAAACAAACAATCCACGTATGTATGGACAGTCCCTATTTTTGACCCGAGACATTTCC